AGGGAGTGTTGTGCGATGGGGACGCTGGCAGACGTTGGTAGGTGGTGGCAGACGCCTAGATCGATATCCATACTTCCGTAGTCGCTAACGCTGCCGGGCGCTCGGTACGTTGGTTGACGCTATTCGTCGCGCGTGGACGCTGCCGCAAAGCATAAAAGCAGCGCAACATGCACCATCATCGGCCTTCGATGGCGATGCATCGTACTATTAAGAGAACAAGCTGTCAAAGAATGTACAAATCCTGCGTAAAGTTTAAAACAAATCATTTTTCTCACACATAATTTTTGGTAAGACTGGTAATATTTATTTGTATTTCCCATGACAAACATGACCGATAATCTTCCATATCTTGACTATAGCCATGCTCATACCATATAGCTCATAGACCAAGCTTGCATGTGGCTATATCGAGTGGATTCGTTGATTTCTTCCCCACTGGACCAGAACAGCTGAAAATAGGCATACAACTACAACGAAAGCAAGAAGGAACTTGACAATATTCTTTTTCAGTGATTGAAACATTCGAAATGTTATCCTGATCAGGGGGGGGGGCATTTTGCTAGTTCTAGTCTATCACTTCCGATGCCTCCTGTGGATACCTGCGAATTGCTGTAAAGCTATGCATTAGCACAAGCTTATTCTACCCTTCACAAGAGTCTTTACGTCTCATCTTTGGGAGACAAGTAATCCAACAAGACCTAGTAAAGGAAACTAGCGAACCTGGGAAAGTTCCCCTCTATGCCGAACAGCGTTGGAGATGTGAAGGTAGGAGCTCGAATGGTTTTCCAAACGAATAGTGCGCTCTCCGCAGTTTCATACCCTCTTCTGCTATTGGTGGACTGAACACGACGTCTAATCCCACACGTCTCCCGGGCCACGCCCTCTTAACTTTATTCGCTGCAAGTCTTTTTGTAATGCTTCATGAAATGAGGAAGAGCGGTAAAGAACAACTGACTGGCATTGGTAACCGCCGCTGCAGACTTTGTTGTGCACACGGACACATTGACCGCTAGGTTGACCCTTGCATTTCTTGCAGTAGTCCGGACAATCTTTCCACAGTATGCCCGTTGCAAACTAAAACAGCTCTTTTAAATGTCAATCTTGAACTGATTGATCTTGATTGATCTTTTAATTGCTCTGTCAAACCAAATAGTAACACAAATGCATTAAAAACCACCTCTCCCTTCACTTATTGAGGCCCCGGCAAAACTATATTTCTAAATCGCTAATAGTTGACTGAATAAGACCATCTCCAGGGCACGTGCCGTTGGGAAAAATTTTCGGAAAATACGACTTCCCCCTAATTCTCTCTGATAGCACCTCCCCCGTCCCCATCCTACCTACCTTTTCCCCCAGATTCCCCCAACTTCCTAACACTTTTTCCAATTTTCATTTTCTAGCGGGGGAGGGATATGTAGCACATATGAAACCGAGTACAGCCAGGAAAAGTCTTTCCCAACGCCGTAAAATTCTCCCAGAAAGGGAATACGCCCCACCCCCTCTCCAACATGGGCAAATACGCCCCCTCCCTTAGAGAGTCCATGAAACAAGGAAAATCGGCTTTAAATTCGAGAAATTTGCTTCGAATAAGACCTCCAGCTGAGGATTCCCCAACGTAATGTGGTCTGCTACCTCCACACCCCTCTGCGACGAACCTTTTCCACCGCGGCCCCCACCCAAAGCCTGATAATATGTTAGAGATGTGTAGAATTATATGGAGCTTGTACACAGCTCCTTGAAGCTTGCAAATGCTGAGGAATGCGAACAAACCTTTGTCTGAGGCGTGCAGCGGCTCCAGTTATCATAGCAATTGCATTCGTACATCTCAATGTTGAGGACCACTAATAGCAAAGCAATCAGCCAACGATTCATTGTGAACTTGTTTACAATCTTTGAAAAGAAACAGTTAGGTCAATAAAGGATACCCTCATCTTCAGTATATTTGAGAAGGATCCTAGCAGCAGTAGGCTGAAAGAGAAGAACACCTTTATTAGCGCCGCCCTTTCTCTTCTCCCCATCAGATGGCCTCATACACGGCATGTTTTGTCCCCGTCCATATGGTCAGCGCATAATGTGCTTGTGATGAGGTTTCAGATCTTCATCAAAAGCATAAGGCACGACAGTCTGGTACTTGGCCCCAAAATGGTAATATTGTGAGGGGGAGGGGAGTGCAGGGGGGGGATGATGTATATATCGTGGGAATCAAAATTTTGGAAAGAAAACCTTTGTCCACACGAATGCCCCGAGCTCTTACAGCTGACAGAATGGAATTTTGGTCAAGATGAGAGGGAATTCCCTGCAACGTGAATCAACAAATTATCTTAGGCATTGTGGGAATCTGGTATTCGGGGGCCTGAAAACTGCTAGCAGGGCGTTATATAGGCGCGGACAAAAATGGCGAAAAATAAACCGAGATGGCAAACGGTCAAAAATCCGTCTAAGAACAGCCTGTGCTCACAACGCACTTCAGAAAGCAGTTCGGGCAGAGTTTCTGCCGCAAGGCATCGTGCCAAAAACTACGATAGATAACGGCTGCATGTTGTGTGCTCGTATATCCATGAGCACCGAAGTCCGCTTCATGTAATCCCTTCTCGATTCACTGTTATACTTCGCTACAATGAAGAGACACGATCACGAACCAGTAAGGATCGTCCATTTGTGGGCGGGGTGGCAGTGGGTGCAGGCGTGTGCTCGTGGTCGTGTAATGTTTGGTAGGCCGTTTGATACGGAGAAAAGACCTCTATAGAGTTCCCTTCCCTCGCCGGCATAAAGGCGAACCTAGCCAGCGGGTTCCGCGGGAATTCGTCGTAATGACATCAACGGTATTATTCCTACTCGTCTTCGAGGGATTTATCTGTGGGGGCCAAACTGTCCTTGTCACCTCATAATCTAACTTTAGCTTGCTTCCTATCTTCAAAATCCTGCGAGATGGTGACAGAGGCGTGGATTGAGCCCTCCCCGCTGCTGCTTTCTACCATTAGTGGCTAATTTACGCAGAAAATAACCAAACTGCCACCAACTTGAGATTTTATCCAAAGCTTGAGATGATGGTTGTAAGGGATAAATGTCACCCAACGCATTATTTGATCTGTCACGACAATCACTTGACTCGCTCGCCCTCCTATCCCATTGAATCGAAGACATTTCAAGAATTGGAATGAAACTTCTCATCGGAGACAAAACGAAAGTTTCCATATCAACGGCGAACAGCCCAAAGTACTACCGCATGTAAGGCAAGACGGTAAACACAGCGCCACAATAACACCTGCCGTCTGCGGGCTGGCTCTGCTCACGCGCCAACTCTGCATCAATAACAAAGTTTGACCGTATAAGAACCTGCTTAGGAATTCCCAGGCACTTTTCCATACCTAAAATCAGCGTCCCAGACTCTATGGATTGCCGAAAGCATTCCCAGGTTAGGTATTTTCAGTTGGGAATGCTGAGCGTAAACAATGCATGATTTGTCTTGTTCTTCAGATGCTGGGTGTAGCGCACTGCGAACCCGTCTTCCAATAATGACTGTCGCTGGCCCTCTCCAGCACTTGCCGGAGAACAGTTTGGCGCCGCGCCATACGCAGCCCCTGCCCCTGACACGCCCAAAATCCGGACTGAAAAGACGGTATGCGCGCGTGGAACCAATACCGATACCAAGGCTGCGTTCATACTTTGCGGCAGCGTCCACCAGCGGGCTACAGCGTTTCGAGCGTCCGTCAGCGTCAGTGCCTAGGAAAGTATAGATATCGATCTAGCGACTGGCAGCGTCTACCAGCGTCCACTAGCGTTCACCAGTATCCGTCAGCAACCATCGGCATCT